TGCCCAATTCGCCACACTGCCACGATTGTCCTTAGGTTTCAGGACAAATGTGAATTTCATGCAAGGCCCGGCATGTTCGCCTAACACATTATTTGATGGGGCGTCGACGAAGCAATTGTATATTTTCTACAGCAATCGACCAGACTACTTAGTTTCAATTGATAAGTAGAGTTTCCAGACTACCGGTAGCTGGTCTCTATGAAATGCGTGGGCAATGCCTGGCCTTCCTTGAAATTCTCATCTGTCTCAGGACACAACGGCGCCCCTGGCAGTGAGTGGCCAATTCAGGGAAGCATTCTCTCCTTCAACTCACTTTGATCGGGATCCTTTGCGTTGAACAAGAAAGAACTGTCTTCCTGCTCAGGGAAGAGGATACGGGCATGCCTGGTTCTCGTCTGTACCTTGGCTCTCGTTAGCATGAATCCAACTGCCGCCAAGGTGATCCCACTTCCCAGACAGGCACCAATTAAGAAGCTATTTCGATCTATTGAAGTAGCTTCTATCTGTGAAATTAGTAGCATCTTTTCAGCAGAGGCATGGCCGATCGTATCGCAAGATCAAATGGCTGCAACGGAAAGTAATGAGACCTGTTGAGAAGTAAGGCTCTGGCCCTGTGCAAATCTGTCGTCTGTGGCCCCACTTTTCTGGCCGAAAGATCTTGGCTTCTTTTGAACTATTCCGGACAGATGGCTTTCCTTCGGTCCTTTTGAACAAGGATCGATGGGCGCCATTTTAACCAGAGATTCACGAAATCTGTTCCAGAAGCCGAGGTTCACTGTCCATTCAAGGCATCTATAGCATATTCCTGACTACTTTGAGAAGAGGATCCCCATTTTTTATAATGAGGCATTCTTAACGAATGTTCTACTCTCCGGCTTCTTAAGGTCTCATTCAATTTCCGACCCATTTCGTTCTTCTTTGGCTCATAGTTTTGCTTACTTCTAGGATATAACTAACCTTCCTACATTATAATTGTGATATTGTTATCCTGTACTCGGATCATATATGCCATTTAGGAAAGACAATTTTGTCAATTTTGTTAATCTTTGTATACATACATCGTCTGACCTTTGCATCAACTTTAAGAAGAGTTCTTTTGGAAAAGTAAGTCTAGTCTTTTGTGCTAGTTTTAGATGGCAAACTGGCCAAGTGTGAATTGTGGGTAATTTTTGTTTGTAACTATTTCAAAAAGCATATGCATCGGTAATTAATGGAAATTGTCAGTTTCAACTGCTTGAATGGGAAGGGCAACATGGCGCCTTTGCCGCCTGAGGCTCGGCCTTTCTGCAACGCGGATGATAGAGTAATTTATG